TTTTCCATGGTCTGCAATGACTCACCTCCTCAGGGCCCAGAATGCCTTTTTGACCTCAATTCATTCCACTTCTAGTCTCTCACTTCTCTTCACACTGGGCTTCATTCAACTAACACTCACCTCCCTGAAGCCTTTGACACCTCTTCCTCTGTTGTGAACTTTCTTCTCCAAAATGATCATATGGTTAATTTCTCCCCTTGGTTTAGAAAATTTGCCTCCCTTTCCTAGCTGAAACACCACATTTTCAACCCCCAAAGCCTGTCCACGCCACCATTCCTGAGCTCCTTGTCCTACTTAATTTTTCTTCTTAGGGTATCTAACTTCACCAATCTCTCAGTTCCACTAGGCTTTGCCCTTTGTTCTCTCTAATCCCAGTGCCTAGAACAGTGTCTGGCAGGTAGCAGATACTTGATAAACATTTAGTAAGTACCTTTTTCATACCAGAGTTATCAAATTAATACTTTAAAGAGAAGATGATACATTGTTACATTTTTTGGTTTATATAATATTAACAACATTTGACATTTTAACAACGTACATATACATTTTAATGTAAGAAGCTTAGAATGACTATTATCCCTTGATAGATGAGGAAAATAGAGTTCTGGACACATTAAATGACTGGCACTAGTACCACAACTATCTAGTGTTGAAGCTGGTATTCAAACCTAGGTTCACATATCAAACCAAAGCCTAATCCCAGTTACTTCATCTACTATAAATACACTTTATTTGAAAGTCATCTAGAAGTTATGATTGTCTTTATCCATTTATATTTTGCTTCCTCTCTGTAAGATTCTTTTTGGTAAAGATTATTGTCTATTTAATAGTCCTCATAATATTTCTTTCCCCAAAGAAAAATAGCAATACATTTAGCAGGAGATTCTAAAGAACAAAATAATTCAACAAATATTTCTTGATCACATACCATGTGTTGTGTGCATCCAGATATGATTGTGTACAAAAAGTGAAGGCACGTATTATTTATTGTTCTGAGAGCTGTGTTTAGGAATAAGGACAGTGAGCTTTGGAAGCACATTGGAGAGATATTCAATTAAATCCCAGACTTGACAATATCTAAACTAAGAACTGAAAGCCATATAGGATTTGTCCAGGAAAGGCTGTAATGGAGAATAAGCCTAGAGATCAATTTGAGCAAAGAATTATTTCCAAAAACCTGAAGACAGAGTGACTGTATGTATTTCAATAGTATATTGATACACTAATGGCAAAGCTGGAGTTCCCATTGCCCTTCGAAGTTTGCCTTTGTACCAAGTCCTTTTCAAAGGATCCTTAGTGATATAGAGTCTTTTTTGTTTTAATATATATAGAGTCTTATATGTTGGGCTGCTGACTGAAAGTTTGGCCCTTTGAATCCTGCAGTGCTTTGTGAGAGAAAAATGAGGCAGTTTTGGACCTTAAAGATGTACCTCCCCATGTTCAGTAAGGGTAATCCTTACCTGTTCCTCCTTTTCAAGAACAGAGATAACATGTTCATTAGAGCTCACAAGATGTGTGATTAAGGACTCCAGATAGACAGGGTTCACAACATCTTGTTTGCTCCTGTCTCATTTCCTGGAGAAAAAAAATCCAAAAAACAAAAAAGATACATCACCTTGGAAACTTAATGGAGAGTTGCTATGAGTTGCAATTGACCTGATGACAGTGGGGTTTTTAATAGGTTCCTTACTCCACTAGTTCTACCACAATTTTTCATCTATAACGTGGAGACTATAATATATAATCACGTTGTTGTTGTGTACCTTCGAGTTGGAACCGACCTATAGCCATCCCTCCAGCGGATTTTCAGAGGCAGTAAATTATACAGGAGGAGTTTGCCCATCTTTCTCTTGCAGAGCAGCTGGTGGATTTGAACCTCATGCCTATGGAATTCCAGTGCAGTTTCTTACCACTAGGCCATCAGAGCTCCCTTATGTAGTCATAGCTGTGATATAATAATAAAATCAATTTACTAAATCTAAGTACATTTGTTTGGTTATTGCTTTGACCTATGAGATGGCTAGTGTTATTGCCCTGCTTTACTTATGCATTAACAGGCTTAGCAAGGCTAACTAAGAGTGGCATAGTCTTTAGGTATGTTCACCACTAACCTAAAGGTTGCACTCTTCTAATGGTTCAAATCCACCAGCAGCTCTTTGACTCTTTGGGGGGAAGATGAGATCTCTCTTCTTATGTAATTTACAGCCTTGGAAACCCAATGGAAGTTTAGCTCCTAGTCAGTTCTCAATCAACAGCAATGCATTTGAGTTTGAGCTTTCTACTTCATATAGCCAAGAAGTGTCATGATAGACCAATATATATGTGAAAACAAAAGTTGCAGATATTAAAAATAAATTCTTTTTAATATTTGATTACAGTATTTATTACCCAGTACTTTGTATATGTATATATAGAAAGAGATAGATATACACACACACACACACACACACAAAAGAATTAGCTTTAAAACAAACACTAATTGCAGAGAACAGACCAGTGATATATGAATATTTCCTATTACACAATAGATACAAAATTTTGAAAGTTGTTTAGCATTAACAAAACTTTTTCCCACATATTCTTTTTCATGAATGTCAGTTGAGTGCCCAGTATAATGGCAGACCCTATTGTAGGGGTTTCACAATCATGGTTTAAATTATACTATTAAAAATGTAGCCTCCACGCAAAAAAAAAAAAAAAGAGGAAAATGTAGCCAATATCCTAATTGAAAAGATTTATCATTTGTAAACCAACTATTTGTCCCTATTTATCTCAATGTAACTTTTCTCTTGAAACAACATGGAATGAGACTTAGCCTTGAAACCAGAAAGATACGGTTTCAAATTCAAGAATCATCTGTTAGCAGCTGTGTGACTTGGAGAAAATTGTTTAATTTCTCTCAGGTTTGGTTTCTTTGTATATAAAACATGGATAATATCTATTTCACAGAGGAATGAAGGTTTAAACCATGATTGTGAAGCCGCTACAATGAATCTTTCATGGTTCTTTCTCATAGCTGATGCACAAATAAGACAATTTTCAATGATGATTCAACTATACTTTCATATATTATTTTGTATATCTTTCACAACTCTACAAAGTTCAAAGAACTATATAAAGTTCTAATTGATGGGGTATCAGTAAATTTCCTATTTTCAGGCATGGTTACAAGTTTTTCATACTCTCATCCATGTTATGAGAAACACCTTTGTGGATAACTCTTTGCAATCATCTAACATTTTATTTTATATTAATCTCTTTTTCAGACAAAATAGACAATTTTAGCAAATGGCTTCAGTATTCTCAATCTCAGACTGTTGCAGGCAAAAAAAAAAAAATACCCCAAACAAGAACAAAAGCAAAACCATTTGATTTTGCAGTTAATCCTTATCTCGAGGTGACTGCATACTTTGCTGGTATAAAGATTCATTTCAGATAGTGTTCTGTAAGTTTGGAAATGGGGGCAATTCCAGAAATTTTAAGTTAGGCTGTTATACAAGGGGAAGGGAAGGACTGAACTAAGTTATGTCATGAAATCTCAAAACCAAAAGACATTTAAGAGATCACAGTACTCAACCCAGCGCAAGACCCAGCACAGAGTAGCAAGAATGGCATATGCTTGGCCTTATCTCCATTACCATCTCTGATTGGTGGGGGCTGAAGGACTAAGTTAAGAAGTCAAGGTCAATGGAAAGAGTAACTGTAACTAATTTAAAAAGGTGTGAGAAAGGGTTATAAGTTTGCCATTCCTCTAGTGAAGATTTAAATGAATGAATAGATAGATATCATATAAATAAGGTTTGCTGCATTATAAAATTTTCTACTGCAGGGGACCTTTAAACTAAAGTTATTGTGCTATTTTCTTAAAACTTAAAAAAAATGTTTTAAAATAGGTAGTACATTTTCAATATAATTAAAATTTTAAAATTAGAAAAGGGGATACAATGAATTCCCTGCTTTGTGCCTCCATTTGCCTGCCTTTCCTTTTCCTTCTGAACTAACACTAATTGAAGAGATTTTTTAAAACCTTGACTCTGCAAGAACAACAACAAAATTATAAACAATTTTTACAAGTTAATTGGTGGAGGGGGATGGGAGGGAGAGAAAGGAATATGTGCAACAATGAATGAATGAAAATCCAACTTTTCTGAAAACTTTTGTTAAATCACAATAAAATAAAGTTAAAAAAATCAAAATCTTGACTCTATCTAATATATTTGTAGAAATTAAATTACACCTTGTTTGTTATTGTTGTTGTGTGCTGTTAAGTCAAAATCACCTCATAGCTGAAGTTGTGCTTTCAAAGGCTGAAAGAAGGTTTTCAGATGAGAGATTTCCCATTGTTCTCCCATGGAGCAGCCCATGAAGCAGCTGGTAGATTCAAACTACTTCTTACCATTAGGCCTCCTTGTTTGGAGAGTCCAAGTAATACGTTTCTAAGAGCAGATTAATCACATAAACAACATATTAAATTTAGTTTGCCTAAAGTGAAATATTTTGCCTTTAGTGAAATACCTAAAATAGTAGTTATGGTCATAAATTAGGTCAAATTTACATTTTCAATAATTAGATTAAATTGTCAACACCTCTTAATTACTACAATTCTATCACATACAAGATAAAGGAACCAGTGGAGGGTAAATCTGGGGTTGTATATCAGAACGAAAACTCTTTGCAAGTATCCAAATGATATGTTAAAATTGTACTGAAGGTCTCTATAGTTAAACCAAAGGCTTATTTCACAATTAGATGTGCATTGAAAGTATTAAATAAGGTTGTAATCAGCAATGTTTTTATTTTCAGTTTCAGGGAATATTCATTCCATTTCTATGTTCTTTTCAAATCGGAGAATAGCCTGTTAAGTCTTTAAAGTAGATTTTCCAGAATACCATGATTAGGCACTTTTTCAATTATGTGTTGTAAAACTTTAAGAATTCATCCTGTTAAAATAAACAAAGACTTACTATTTTACTTTTATTCTTATTGTTCTTTTGTGACAGCATGCAAGACGACAGCCTAGAAGCTTCCACTTCCATCTCTCAACTGCTAAGGGAGAGCTACTTAGCTGAAACCAGGCACCGGGGGAACAATGAGAGGAGCCGAGCAGAACCATCCTCTAACCCTTTTCATTTTGGTGGTCCTGGAGCTGCTGAAGGAGGAGGTGGCCAAGATGACCTTCCAGACCTTTCTGCCTTCCTGAGCCAAGAAGAATTAGATGAGAGTGTCAATCTGGCAAGACTGGCCATCAATCACGACCCTCTGGAGAAAGGGGATGAATCTCAAGCTCGCAAACGTCTTTCTTCTGACCAATTGAAACACTCACCTAAATCAAGTTTTGACCCCAGCTTCTGTCAGGATAATAATGCTCGAAGTCCTCCAGGCTCTAGCGAGAGCCCACAAGAAGCAAAAAGGCCACAGTACAGTTCTGAAACTCAGTGCAAAAAGGTGTTCTTAAATAAGGCTGCCGATTTCATTGAAGAGTTGTCCTCCCTTTTCAAAGCCCACAGCTCCAAAAGGATCAGACCTCGGGCCTGCAAAAACCACAAAAGCAAATTGGAATCTCAAAACAAAGCCATGCAAGACAGCAGCTCGGGTTTCTCAGATCTGTCAGAAAGACGAGAAAGATCTTCTGTTCCCATCCCTATCCCCACAGATACCAGGGATAATGAAGTGAATCATGCCCTTGAACAGCAAGAAGCCAAGAGACGTGAAGCTGAGCAGGCTGCCAATGACGCAGCTGGGGGAGATACTACCCCGGGGTCTTCGCCTTCGTCTTTATACTACGAGGAACCGCTGGGGCAGCCTCCTCGGTTCACTCAGAAGTTACGGAGCAGAGAAGTCCCTGAAGGAACCCGAGTCCAGCTGGATTGCATAGTGGTAGGAATCCCACCACCGCAAGTAAGGTAAAAATGTCCCATTGCTATTGTTTGGTAATCACTTCCATCTACTGTGCTTTTTCTCAGAGAATTATTTTCAGCACTTTGTTTCACCATTTTAGTAAGTGGTTACAACAATTGGAGAAAAGTAATTGTTGTAGGCAAACTGGCCAGAGACATTTTGAAATTTTTCTTTTTATTCGTTGTTATCAAGTAATTTCTGGCTAATGAACACTTCATACACTACAAAGGACTTGTTGTTGGGTGTTAACGAGTCGAATACGACTCATAGTGACCCTGTGAACAAAAGATCTGAACCCCATTCTATCCTGCTCCATCCTCACGCTTTCTGACACACAAGAGCCCATTACCGCAGCCACTGTGCCAATCCACCTGGTTGAAGGTCTTATTCTACTTCGCAGACCCTCCACCCTTCCAGCATCATGTCTCTCTTTTAGCAACATGCCCAAAGTGTGTGAGGCAAAGCCTCATCATTCTTGCCTCTAAAGAGCACTCTGGCTGCACCCTCTCCAAGGTATATTTGTCTGTTCTTTTGGCCATCCATAGGATGTTCAGTGCTCTTCTCCAACATCACAGCTCAAAGACATCAACTTTTCTTCAGTCATCCTTATTCATTGTCCAGCTCTCAGATGGACAGCAAGTGATTGGAAAGATTATGGTCTGAATGAGATCCACCTTCGTTCTCACACTCCTTAATAATCTACTCACAATGTTTTCAGGGCTGTGACCTGTAGAAGCAGATCTATAAGCCTTTCTTCCAAGGCATCTCTGTATGAGTTTAAACTTTTGGTCAGTAGGGCAGCACTACTTGTGCCATCCAGGGATTTAAAAAAAAAAAAAAGAAGAAGAACTAGATGACTTTGTTTTTGTTGTTGTTGTTAAGTGTCATCAAGTTGTAGGCAACTCATAGCAACCCTATGAACGAAAGACCTGAACACTTTTATAACTTTTATCGTTTCTCCAAGTTCATAGGGTTTCCAGAGGTGAGCTATTTTGGAAGTGGATGCCACTCCTGCTTCCAAATTTGTTTTAATTGGGGAGTTCCACCAAACACTGTTCCACCATGGGTAACCATTATCGAATTTGACACTCAGTGTCACAGTGTTCAGCCTCACAGCAACCACGAGTTACCTCTGTACAGCAAATGCACAGACCAGAGCTATACTACTTAGTAAAATGTTTAACCAAAAACAATTAAAACCAGGCCTGAGGGCTGCGGATTTGCAGATTAAAATCACCCACCTTGGGCTTGGTAGTATTACTTTCTGCCCACTAGGCCAATTGAGATAAAAAAAAAAGAACTAGATGACATTAGCTCCAATTATATATTTTCTTTAACAATATATCAAAACACCACTTCACCATGTAATCAATATGAAAATCATTAATAAGATATTTTGCTTTTTTATAGTAACTAAGTCTTTGAATTCTTTTTTTAAATTAAATTTTATTAGTTTTAATGAACATTTACAGGGATTTTGGGTTTTCATTCCTTCATTGCTGCACCATTCTCT